AAATCTGTTTCTAGTGCGGATAATCTTTAATGTTGCTGCCCGGAATGGTAGTATATGCATACAGTAGTATGCATGGGTATTCTGTATTATTGTTATGCTTTTAAGTTATATTGATTATTTTCATGAGTCATTGATTGTGACTATCAGTTTATCATAAAGTTTTTTTTTTTATTACTGATATTATTGTTCATTCCATTTGCGATAAGATAGAACTCGCTTGTGTTCGGCGGGGGCTCTGTGGCGATATCAGCCACGTGAAGGGCGTCATCTGGAGAAAAGAGGGAGATAAGAAGGAGAGGAGAAATAAAAATGGATGATGGAAATGCTCACGTCTGTCTTAATTTTTCTTTTGCATTTTTACTAACGCAACTGTTCTAACTCAAATCGTGAAGAATGGATCCAAATAATGGGGAGGATAAGTAAACAACTCAGATTTAAAGGCAATAAACCAAAATCTAATCAAGTAATTATTAGACATTTTCAGCTGCATCACACATACATCATCAGTGAATATTCCTGTATACCAACACACAAGTGTATTTTCATTTAAAACAATAAAACACAGATATACTTTAGTGATTTTGAGAAAACAAGTTTAAAAATATTAAAATAATCAACATTCATATCGTTTTATATAATCTGAATAAAATCTGTTTCTTTATCAAAATATAAAACCTCCTCAATAACACTTTATTCATTTTCACAAAAACAGTTTCACAATGAGTTTTGGAACTTTGGAGTATCTGATTATAATCAGCAACATACAATTAAAGGTAATCATCTCATAAACTACCCATTTCTCACGGATTGAATTTTAACGTCGGAATTATTTTGTGAACATTATTATAATATCATAAAAATAAACTTACTATAATATAATACTCTATAATAAATCCACGGTTTTTTAAATTACTGTCTATGCCTATGATAAAATAAATGGCCTTTTTAACCCATCTAGTTTATTCTTTAGAAGATTGTGATAGATAATAAATAAATAAATTAGAACAATATTTTCTATCCCAGTGCATGTGTTGTCATAAAGGTCTATATTCTACAAACGTTTGTTTGTATATTCAATTTAACCTTAGGCCACTGGAAAGACTCTCGGAATAAATCTTTTTCAAAAGAAACCCCCCAAATATAATTATAAAAAAAATATTTATTATTTCAAATGAAATTATAGCAATTTTGAAGTCTGAGAAGGTCAAGTTTCAGTCGTTTTACTTCATTTAAAACTAACATGGGCTGAGATGGGTGGGACCCAAACATAGGCCTAAATTCTGGGAAAGTATCTCCGAACTTGCAAAATGGATATGTGATAATCTGCACGTTCAAAGAGTCTACTCTGAGAAATTATACCCATTGTTTTTGTATAATATCATATCGTATCTATACCGATTATTATTAGATAAAGGAAATACAACACTGTCAGTAATTTGACTTTTTTTTTTAAACGGAATCTTTACAACTGACAGTTATCTCGACGACCTCTGCGCCTCCAATCCCAGGTTTTCTTTTCCGGTCGATCAACCTTAAAATTAGTACAGTGACACATGAATTAATTAGTAATAATCCACCAAACAGAGATGGAAATATCATTATGTCAAAATAATCTTTACTGTCTGCATAAGAGGTGGCAATAATGACCAAGGCTAGTGCAGAATTCTGGCAACCGGTTTCAAAAGCAATGGTCCGGCATTTCTTTTGCGACTGACGTAACAGGTACGCAATGAAGTAGCCTAAGAGGAACGCAATTGGTGACATTACAGAGGCAGCAAACCACACCGTCCATGGTACTTTGAACATACTGGGGTTAGATAAACCTCCTAAAACTACACTGACTGAGAGAGCAAGCATACCTGTGAAGCTTCCCACCTAAAGAGAAATAAAATTACTGTAGGTTAATGCGAAATCAAATATAGGGATGCAGACCTATTTTCTTTGAGTTAAGTAAGCCATATTTAAACAGTTTAGCCCGCTATTCCTACTTCAATTCTATAATAAATTTTAGTTGGATACTTTGAATGTCTGGATAAGGGCGTGTTAAATCCCCTTATAATCACATTTTCACGTTAATTAGGCCTACAGAAATGTGGTTGAGTAGGTTCGATATTGAAAAATTATTAGCGTTTACAAGATTGTACATCGAAATTTGTATGACAAAGAGCGACATAAATAATTCCGAACACTAAGTATCCAATAGCAGGGGCGGATTTAGGGGAGGGTGGGGGCGGCCCGGCCCCTTTTGGAAGGTCAAAAAAAGAAAAAAAAAAGAAAAAAAGAAAGAAAAAGAAAAAATGATAGCCCACAACGCATCAAATGTTATTTTCGGGCGTCTAGAACACAAAAATTTTGCGGGGGCATGCCCCGGACCCCTAGGACATTGTTGTCTCGATCGGCCCAAACTTCGCCCCCCTCCTTTCGGCCCCCCTTTTGGACATCTCTGGATCCGCCCCTGAATAGTACCAACCAGTGTTATGCGTCTTGCCCACTCTTCTTTGTAATGCCGAATAATCATTCCTATAATAACAGGAACTAGGATGAGAGCCAGAGAGAAGGTGATGCTGGTATATGGGATGACGGCGGATTCATCCGTCCAGCTCCTGCCGTATATCCATAGACACAGAGGCATCATGCCCATAGCTGACAGCGTAGATACCGTCGTCATGCAGATACTGAAATGTAATTATTTGTGAGATTTTCTAATTTGTTCAATGTATTCAATTTTACATTGAATTAGCTTAGCCAATCTGAGGTATATAACCGTGACGTCACTTTACATAGACTGCAATCATTAACCATCATTCTAAATGAAGTATATTATTGTCATCATCATCGTCGTCGTATTAATAATAATGTTATTAGGCCTATTAACTTACGCTTATTTTTATCATTTGTTACGTTCATTGGTACATAATTAACAAACAAAGCAGATTTTTATATTGAATTAGCCTCAAGTAAAAAAAAAACATTTTAGATTTGTTTTATTAACCGTACCGACTTCTTCATAAAAAACCTTCGGAATTTTAGAAAACTAATTTCTACAACATATCTCCGGAGCCTGAATTTAACCTACCTTAAGCAAATATCACCGTTACTCCAGAAAGTATATATTTGTGACGTCACACCACCTGGACTGCAACCAATTACCAGCATTCCTATAGCATGAGCTGCATCAACTTTAAGAATATTTGCCAGAGAAAATGCAACAAGCGGCATGATTCCGAACTGGCATACGAATCCGATAGCTAACCCCGCAGGTTTTTTTAGTGTCACTTTGAAGTCGTTCACTGTAACCACAGCTCCAACTGCTAACATAATAAAAGCTAACAGAACGGTTAAAATATATCTGTTTGCAAATTTCAACGATTCTGCCATTAAAGAAATTACTGTCGATGAGTCGGGTGTTGTCCAGATGATAGAAGTTGCATTCTCACCGAATGGATCCGATACTGATGCTGCCATACTGATAGGCTGTTAGTGGAATTTAAGCAATATCAAGTTAAACTATTACCAATAACAATAGATCAGAGAAGGTTTTATGTACTATTAATGACAAGTATGTATTGGGCCTACCATAAATTAAATTTTGAAAAAAATAAAAAGAAAAAAGAGCTACTCCAAGTAGAAAGTATCGATTTATGGCTATTCAGTATGGTATGGGCAACATTGTATTTGATATTTATTTATATTATGGTTACCCGTATGAGCAGTTTCCAAGCGAGACTCTCTTTTGAGGTACTTTTACCTCTTGAAATTTTAATTAGCAAAAGTGTGGGAATAATAGACTGCAATATTTAATCATTATACGGAGAAAGTTTTTAGCTACTTTAAAAGGTTTGCCGCCATTTTGGGGCCTATCATTAAAAAAAAATCCCCACATTCTGGTGGTACGTCCAATTTTGATATATTAAAACAAATGGCACATTTATCGTTGGTTATTCTGTCCCAGATGCATGTAAACTGCAAGTAGGCCTACATTTCCGTATTATGCTTAATATTATCAATTATGGTACTTATGGCTCATTACTTACCGTGGCAATGTGATCAGCAATAAACGTAGTGATGAATCAAATGCAGTGTCCGACGTGATCCGAACAAGGAGCCGACAGCCATAGAATGACGTTTAATAAATGCTTCTAGTGAATGGTAATTATGTTTAAGTGCTGGTGTGTTGGTATCTTTTGAGCCATTAAGTCATGAATGTCTATAACAATACATTATAATTACTGTTATATCAACCTACGCAATGGAGTACCAGCATCATTTCTGCTCTTAATAGTGGACCTTCATTTCATGAGTACCACAGAAAGTATACAACTCAGCTTTGCGAGTCTTGTAAATAACATGCCCCAACGCGATGCGAATGCAATAGCTCAATAATTTTAAACTGTATCAACAGTGTAACTTTTTTATCTTAGGTATTGATATTTATGTATATGCCTTCCCTATGAATATTGAATTCAGAAAACATGACTGATATTCTATAGTCATCATTTTATGCATACTTCATATATGTTTTAATTTTCGGGATTAAATCGTGATTTGTATCCACCGGAAAAGGCGCGGTACAACTTGGACATTACATTAATATATTTTTTTCTGGACGTTTTGAGTGGTATTATTATTATTACTTAGTGTTTACAAAAGGACGATAAATCTTCTTTCTGATACAGTCGTTACCACAATAATGTTGATAATAGGAAACAACCCATGAAGCATAACCACTTGGTGTCAAATTAATGTTATTTTCTTTCTTTATTTATTTTAATTTTTTTTACAATTTTTTACATTTTTTTCCCAACGGTCACGATTTTCAGCAAGCTGTTTTAATGTTTCCTTGTATTTGGGTTTAACAAATTTAGTATTGAAAAGTTCCTGTTCGTCAGATTGTAGGTGTGACAGTAAATTAGTCTTATGCCGTCCTAATCTACTTGGTAATTGTGATGATGTGTTTATTGCTAACTGTAATGCTTGAAGTGCAGGTGAGTGTGGATATGTCCAAACATATTCCATTTCAATAACCGCTTAGGGAAAAGCGCAATGTAGATACCCAGTAAGTTCTTTAGTTATTACTGGAATCAATTTCTTTAAATCTTCACAGTGGTGCTCAGTAAGAAATTCGACATTGTCTGCGTATGCTGTTTCCTCTGGCATACCACTTGGTGATATTAGGGCAAAAGGTTTGTTTAGTACCATTCGTAGATGTTTTAGGGGCCGCTGCAAGAGTGTAAATAGTGTAAATAGTTTACCAGATAAGCCGGCTCCTTGAAAGGACTCCACACTACTCTCAAATTCAGACGAAACTACGTTATTAATTTTAACAACCAGCTTAGTTCTAGCCCGCCCTTCCCATACACACTTTTTGGCAGAATATATATTATAATATCTATGGAGATTTTTATATGATCGGAAAGAAATGCAAGAAAAGTAAGAGGGAAGAAGGAGGAGAGGGAGGAGAAAGAGAGAAAGAGACCGAGTTAGATTTTCTCGCAAATCACATTGGTCCCCTCCCTTGGGCAAAATAATAATAAAAAGAATTCTATACCCACCTTTTCAGGACCCGTGAGCCGATATTTTTTTTTGTTACATTAAAGAAAATTAAAAGTCGGGAAGCTCATTTCCCGCCATCTAAGAATCAACATTTTCTCGGGGAGGACCCCGACCCCCTTTTATTTTTGGGGTTCATAGATTCTTGGAAAAAAGAATACGTATGCAACGTATGTATACTGGTAAACACATAGGCCTAATAGGCCTATTCCCCCCCCCCCTTTTTTTGGTGGGGGGTGGGGAGGATTTTGGGAATACTGTAATAAGAATGAGAAAAATTTACCTGAACGTTTTCAACGGGGAAAACCTTGAATTTTGAACAACTTGAAAGTCACTTCTCGCCATTTAGAAATCAACATTTTGCCTCTTTGGGGTTCATTGATTCATGGAATCGTTTTCAAGAGGGAAAAGTCTTGAATTTTGAAGAACTTAACAGTCATAAAAAGGTACCTCAGAAGTAGAAAGCTCATTTCCCGCCATCTAGGAATCTATTTTTCCCGGGGGAGAACCTTCGAACCCCTTTCTCTTTGGAGTTTATCGATTTATGGGAAAAAGGACACGTATTCAAATACTCGTTTTTTTATGTATGTATACACATAGGCCTGATTACCGTAATAAGAATGAAAAAGTTTACCTGACAGTTTTCAAGGTGGAATTTTGAAGGACTTTAAAGTCCTTAAGTCATTAAAAGACACATAAATTAAAGTCTGAAAAGCTAATTTTCCGCCATCTAGGATTCAAAATTTTTCCCAGTTCTTTTGGGGGATTTTAGTAATATTTTGGCCCCAACTCCCTAAATTTGAACCCATTCATATTCCCATTTATCTTACTAGTAGGCCCCCTCACTTGAAAAAACGTTCCGCCGGCCCTGTAGTATAGATCCAACATAGTTTGTCTGCTGATGTGTCAAAGGAGGACGACATGTCAACACACATTTTGCCGTAAGTACACTTCTTTCTAAACACATTGAAAGTAACGTTCTATGACTCCACACTATATCAACTCCTTCCTTTTTTAAAGGCACTTTGCCATAGACATTATCTATTTTATCCTTAATTCGACGGAATGTGATTAATTATACTATTTTTCGAACGGAATTGAACGCAATTTTTTTAAGGGGCTTTTTTTCGACTTTTGTAATGGTGTAATTACAGCTATCCAATGCAATTAATATATTTATTTTCTTAAAAACTTTTATTTTAGCATAAGCCCGATAAAAACTGAAATCTGAATTTTTGCTTGCGCACGCCATGATACATAAATGAAAGACAGAGACTAATCTTAACTTTGGGTATTATTTTAATTGAAAACTCGATTTCTCTGAACCTTACAAAAAGGTCATAGATAGCGCCCTTTACTGATTTTGTATGGAAACATTGCTTAACTTATGGGATGCCACTGAAAGTGGGCCATCATCTACTCATATGAGTGAGAGAGGGAGGGAGGGCAGGCAGGGAATCGCCAAATAATGAATGGTAACCGTTGATGGAGATGATATTGTGGTAGTAAAGAATATCTTCGAGTAAGTTGTTGCATTTCGTTAAATGTGCAAATGTAGGCTTTACTCTATAAGATACCGTATTACGGGTAGAATCTGAGTGGGGTTTGTAAAACAGATTGTCGAAAGTATCGGTAGCTGTTCCTGCATTGAACAGAGAACGATCTGCTTTCGAGAGGAAAGAAAGATAGTGCACTTCATTATAAAATATGTAAATATTAAAGGTATAGTTTAGCATGCATAGGCGAAGTGTTAAAATGTGAATAACATTAAAAGTCGTTATTCGCAGCAGCTCCGATTTTGAACTGAAAGCTGACCTAGCAAATGATACACAAGACTTGTATATTGCACTAAAAGCATTGTGCTGGATTTTCGTTTGTGTTAGTGAAAATGAGCTATGCATGCAGGACTATTTTTTTTGGTCTTATGTATTTGAGATATGCACAGCTATGCCATCTTCCTAGTTTTTAATCGTATGTGGCGGGGCCCCTTCTGCAGCTATTTGAGTAACCCGACCGATTGTAAGGGAGTGTGTGTTGTACCGTGTTGAAGGAAGATTGGAGAGCGCAATTGTGGCCATTAGAACTGTCGATAGCTCTTTTCGTGTCACTGGCTTGCCTGTTTTGTGCACAAAAAAGGGGCCAGTTATGTGAGGGCGGACACTGTTATACATGAGAACAGCTCTCACTGCGCATGTTTGAGAGATCGGGAAGCTTTTAACTCGTACCTAGGGGTAGGCCTATGTGATTTCTTAATTTTGAATGATGGAAAGGGGATAACCTGTTACATCCTAGCCTTTGTGAAAATTATTGTAAATGGTGTAAATTGCTGATGTGGAGTAACTGCTGTATTTTTCGAATGGTGATTTTAGGAGCAAAACGTGAAGTCATTTGTAGATATTATTTTTATATATATATTTAGCAGAATTCAGCTTTTATTAGGATTTGGCTGTTTGGCTAATGTCAGCTGAAGTATTGTGTTTGAACATTTTGTATAAGATTTTTTTTAATTGATGTCAAACAACATAGAAATATAGATAATGTGACCGAAATGAAGTTTGCATTCGTGTTGTTTATTCATGGTGTTCATGGTCAATTAAACCATAACAAGTATTTTATTAAAACATATTTTTTTAAAAAACGACGAGAGCTTTGAGACAAATAATTAAATTAATAGCCTGATGATCGCTGGTTTGACCGTCATCCTCAACACACAACGAGTACAGTCTGTACCAAGTTTGATATTTGGTTTTATGTAGTTATTTTTCATGTTTTTTTTCTCGATTGTTTTGATTGTGATGTACCACTGTAGCAAGTGATTCCGAATGAAACTAAACCGGTGACGCGTAACACCTAATGCATATGCATGAACTTGTACGCTAACGTGGAAGAAGAGACTTTGTAGCACCTGGAATTAAAAGTAGATTATTTCAGTAACGTGAACGTATCTGCAATAATATGTTTGTTTGCAGCACTTTATTCTCTGGTAAGTACTAATTCGTTAGATGCTAAATATTCGGGAAGATAGGTCATAGAATATCTTTGGGACTGGTTCAGAAACTAAATCAAATCGTTGCGGCGCCAGAGCGGATGCTCACTGTACTGTATTTCTTCTACTCTGCATAGATAGGCTTGCCCTGGTCAAGGTGATCTTCCGCTGCGATGTATACTTAAAAGGCAGTGGCTATCGGCACCGTCGCAGTGCGAAAAACGCTGTTGTTTTCTCAGCACTGCCACAGTGCGAAAAAGCTGCTGTTTTTATCGCCACTGCTGCAGTGCCAAAAACTACAGTTTTTATCGGCACTGCCATAGTCGAAAAACTGCTGTTTAATCGAAATTGATGTTTTGATTGATAGATGAATACATTATTTTATAGGTCTAGACCTATATTATTGTTATTGGTCATACGGTCATACTATTAGTGTCAAAAACCGTCAACAACAACGTCAACATAATTAATTATTGTCAACGACCATCAACATAGTGTACTAATTATTACAATTAATTATAATTATATAATACGAATGTTTCGCAT